TATATATATATATATATATTTGCACTCATGTCTGGAGTTCAGCTTTAATATTTCTTGATGACATCACTTCCTGCCAAGGTTGCCCAGAAACAAAATGGCCAACTTATCCCTGCATTACCTTTGGGTGTGTATACCGCAGATGGTTTTCTAGGAGAGACATGAGATGAACTGAGACCCGGTCTACAGTAACCACTATAAACTGTCAGAGACAGCTGCATGTAGAAAACACATCGGTTTTCTTGAATTTTTGAGGTTAGAGTGGGATTTTAGCACGTGAGAGAGTTAATCGCCCTGCAGACTGATGTGACATTTGTGTTATCGATAATAGAATTTGTCATTCTGTGTAAACATACTTGTGAAAATCTAGAGGCTACTACAAGGTGTATAATGTCTTTTTTTGTATTACCATTACTGTTAATTATTAAAAAAAATACAAGTGACTTTATATTTGAAGTGAAAAAAAATTATTGTTTTGTAAAGTACCAACTAACCTTCCTTCTGCTATGGACTTATTTTTTAAGTGGCGTTTTGACATAGTAATCAAACCTTTAAACGTTTTAATAAACATTTTACTGAAAAACCTGAAAAGTGAGGTGTGCCTGTGTGTGCTGTATTTTACAACCTGAAGTCGACTTCTTATCTATGTTATGTTAAAGAACAAAACTGCTAAGTGTCACTCAGAAGGAGAACCAGTCACATTTGTGCTTAGGAAGAATCTGACTATTCAGTCTTCAATTGGTATAACTATTCCGTTTTGCTGTTATAAGATATATAGTTTCCTTCTTGTTTTATACAGACTTATTTTTTCTAAGATCTATAGTTTCCACCTTGTCTTAAAGTCTTATATTTTATAAGATGTATAGTTTCCCTTATAGTCTTATTTTTTTATAAGATGTATAGTGACCCTGTAGTCTTATAGTCTTTTTTTAATATCAGATGTATAGTTTCCCCCTTGTCTTATACAGTCTTTCTTTTATCTATAAAATTTATAATTTCCTTCTTGTTTCATACAGGTTTAAAAAAAATAAAATATATAGTTTTTCCTGTTGTCTTATACAAACTTATTTTTTATAGGATGTATAGTTTCCCTCTTGTCTTATACAGTTTTTTAAATTAAAATATATCGTTTCCCTCTTGTCTTATACAATCTTATTTTTATAAGATGTATAGTTTACCTTATAGTCTTATTTTTTTACAAGATGTATAGTGACCCTGTTGTCTTACACAGTCTTTTTTTTAAAAAGGATGTATCCTTTCCTTCTTGTCTTAAGGTGCCCATACACCTGCCCATTATCGTACGAGAATCGCGGGAAATCCCGGGATCGTACGATAATCGGCAGGTGTGTGGAAGGCGTGCGACCGTTTCTACTGTACGGTCGCACGTCTTTTGTCTTACGAGCATGTTTGAAAACCAGCCGAAAATCGTATGATTTTCGGCGGGTTAGTGGCGTGCTCGTAAGACAAATGCCGCACGGGCCACACTGCTCGTTCAGCATTGCTGTCATCAGAAGCCCGCCGCTCAGCGGTCACATTGTACGTTTTTTTTTTTAATCTTGCAACCTTCGCAAGGCTTTCGTAAAGTGTATGGCCAGCTTAACACAGTCTTTTTTTAACAAGATGTATAGTTTCCCTTTTAAATCTGTATCTGTTCTCATGCTGGGTAGAACTTCTGTTTTGCAGCAGACTGCCTTGTCTCAGGAACGGATACATGGTGTCTGTGTGTAGGTATGTATAGGTTTGTAACCTGAGCCAGCACTACAGGAAGAGGCCCTGAGCTGCAAAGGGAAGTTCTCCCCAAGCATGAGAAGACATGAGGATTTAAAAGGAAGAGCAGCAAAGAGAAGGGAAACTACCATGGATTACAGTAAGGCACACATTACAGTATTGGTTTATGTTAAATAATCTGAGGGTTTAATGTCACTTTAAGGCTCTACTTTAAAGAAGAACTCTGGGCATAAACAAAATTAACCCCTGCATTGGGGCTATGCCTGCACTGCAAGGGTTAACTGTTTGTTTTGTCTAGGGAGCTAAAATAAATTTATACTCAGCCAAACCTCAAGCCTGCCTGAGTTCTTGTCATTGGGTGGTGTGAAGGATGGACACCAGTCACTTTGAGTAGATCTCAGATATTTTAATTGCATATGCACAAAGAAGAGTAGGGAAGGAAGCTGAAGGGAGCACAGGATACCTGTATGTACATCAAACACAGTCCTTGATCTTCTGCATAGTCTTCTAACTTTCTGGGTCCCTCTCTCACAGGGCTATACTGACTGGATCATTAAACATTGTAGGTGGCTCCTTGTGGAACTGAGGTTCCTGTGTATTCTCAGTATTATAGATCAAGGCAGGACAGCAATGGGAAGGTCCATGTGTTGTTTCCCAGCTCAGTCAGTAACCCGCCATCCCTGTGGGGGACAACTGCAGCTTTGCTTCCTCAAGGCCTGTAGCACTCCATAGCAGCCAGTATCTTAAGGACACCCCCCAAAAAGGGGAGATCTCCACAGCTTCTCATACCCCTAGGCACTCAGGCCCTAGTTT